AGGAGGAGGAGAAAGGTTTCACCTTCCAGCTGTCACTGGAAGGCTGAGGTTCAACCCTCTTATCAAAACAATCATTTACTCATTGATCTGTCTTTTGTTTACATGCGGCTTTATGACATCACAATCAAATTAATATCTCAAGCTCTAGAAACTTTTGAGATTAACTTAGAAATCGTGAATAAATACTTTGTCGATTCTGCGTGTCTTCTGTTTTGAGCAGTTAGGAAACACTGCAATCACAATCATGTAATCTGAAACATTTTTTTCAATAAGAGATGAAATGATCATTTATTAAAAAGATTACAGCAGTTGAGTTTTTTTAGAAAAATACCAAATCTTGTAAATATTGTGATTAAGGTCAAGAGCAGCACAATTACCAGCATGTTAAACAGAAAAGCAGGCTGGAGAACTCCATTTGTCCAAGATCCAGGACTAGGGAAGTGATCATCCCCCTGTACTCGGCACTGGTGAGGCCCCACTTCGAGTGCGGTGTTCAGTTTTGGGCCCCTCACTACAAGAAGGACATTGAGGTGTTGGAGCGTGTCCAGAGAAGGGCTACAGAGCTGGTGAGGGGTCTGGAGGACATGTCTGATGAGGAACGACTGAGGGAACTGGGGTTGTTCAGCCTGGAGAAGAGGAGGCTGAGGGGAGACCTTATCACCCTCTACAACCACCTGAAAGGAGGGTGCAGAGAGGTGGGGGCTGAGCTCTTCTCCCTGGTGACAAGTGACAGGACGAGAGGAAATGGATTCAAGTTATGTCAGGGGAGGTTTAGATTGGATAGTAGGAAACATTTTTTCACTGAAAGGGTTATTAGACATTGGAAGAGGCTGCCCAGGGAGGGGGGGGATTCGCCATCCCTGGAGGTGTTTAAAAAAGGGTAGATGTGGTGCGTAGGGACATGGTTTAGAGGTGGTTTTGTCAGGGTCGGGGGATGATTGGACTTGATGATCTTAAAGGTCCCTTCCAACCTCAGCGATTCTATGATTCTGTCTCTTGTTCACACCACAGCTCCACAAGCACTCTGTAAGTCAGGAAGCATCTCCCTTCTGAGTCCTATACTAACTCTCACTTATTTACTTTTTTATTGGCTTTCTCTGGGTGACCAGCTTGGTTTGAAAAAACCCTCTTTCCTACTTCTGCACAGCTTTAGAAAATAAATTGTATTCTGTGTGTTTCCTTCCAAGTTAGCTAGCGTTCATCACAGCATCTTTGTCATCTTTTATTAAGTGTGTCTAGGTACCTGCATACATATTCAACTTTGGACATTTCTAATTTTGCCTTCGCAGAAATTTTTATGACTTTTTTTTTTTTTTTCCCCCCCAGGTCTATACCGTTTGGGGAACTTGTTGCAAGTTGAAACCCAGTTGCTTGTGTAGGTGTGGATGTGCGTGCAAGAGACAGCAAAGGGAAATAAATTGAAATTGCTGGAAAAGAGCAGCCAATAAAGGGGACCTATGTAACGTCAGTATATAACGAGATGTGGTGAAAGGTCAGACTGGCACCATTTTTCATTTGAAAGAAGCAGTCTCCTGGCGCCACACTGCTTCTTTGCAGCAGAAGATGGGCAGAGTTGTTCTTGGTTTTGTGGTTATGGCTTTTCCTTCTGACCTGACACTTAGCTTTCCTTGCGTGGCGTGTGTGCGTTGCCGGGAACAGCACCATGATGGATACTTTCATGCAATATTTACTGTGTATAATCACCAGACAAATTCTTCCAAAATGCCACAAACAAAATAAATGCCAAGTATATATTACTTTAATGTCTCGTCTGGTATTAAATCCTTGGAGGCATATTTCAGAAGCAGCTGTAATGAGTATTCCTGCAGCAGGGAGGGAGGTGACATTTCATAATTACGCAATGTCTTCTGAACCATAAGACTTTAAAACTTAAAGAATATTTTTCGTTTTCCTTTATTCGTTTGATCTCCTTTTAAAGCAGTGTATTCTTTTGCCATAATAATACACAGGGGGGTATTTTTTCTTCTCTGGATTGCCTTCCCAAACCTAATGGATGTGAAGCAGTGGCATAGACGCTCAAATGAAGGACACTTCAAATGTAATTTGAAGTTATATGAATATAATATGAATGTAAATGTAATATTAATGTAATATGGATTTAAAAGGCAGCAGGATGTTGGCATAATGTTGCTGACTCTTCTAATTTTATCAGAAGTCTCATGATCTATGCTGAACCTTGTTTTACCTTTCTGCTCTGTGGCTCTGCTTGAGCATTTCAGTATTTTATTATTGGCATTGTGGGAGATGATCAAAGCCCCAGTGGTGGCCCCAGAGCCCTTTTGTACAGCGGCTGTGGCATGAACAGGAGGACGCTCCATGTCCCACGATGTTGAACTCCTGAGGTGTGTGGAAGGGGAGAAGCTCTCCTTGCACAGGGAAAGCCGCAGTACACCGAGCATTAGCGCTGCTGTTCTACTTAGAAAAATAATAATTAAGAATCAACAGTTTCCTCTCCTATGAGGACAGGCTGAGAGAGTTGGGGTTGTTCAGCCTGGAGAACATAAGGCTCCGGGGAGACCTTTTTGTGGCCTTCCAGTCCCTAAAGGGCCTATAGGAAAGCTGGGGAAGGACTTTTTTCTGGGGCATGGAGTGAGAGGATAGGGGGTAATGGCTTCAAATTGGAAGAGGGGAGCTTTAAATGAGATATTAGGAAGAAATTTTTCACTTTGAGGGTGGTGAGCCCCTGGGGCAGGTTGCCCCGAGAAGCTGTGGCTGCCCCATCCCTGGAGGTGTTCAAGGCCAGGTTGGACAGGGCTTGGAGCAACCTGGGCTGGGGGGAGGTGGCCCTGCCCAGGGCAGGGGGGTTGGGACTCGATGATCTTCAAGGTCCCTTCAACCTCAACCATTCTATGATTCTTTTAAGGTCAGAATGTGATGCATAGGACTGACTCCTAAACAAGGATGTCTCTGCCCTTGCAGGAGTGACAGTGAGCTCCATGGGAAGAGCAGCCCGGATCAATGGTACCAAGGGAAGGATAGGTTAGATTTGTTTCTTCTAAGCAGTAAATAGCAGCTGTAGCCTTGCAGAGCGCCAGCTGTGTAATCGTGTGGGGAGGGTGCTGGGGCTGTAAAACAGTGCTCCTGAGCAGCAGGCAAGCAAAGCTGAGGCAGCTCCTGTATGGGCAGGCAGGTGGAGATACTTGTCTGACTAAACATGCCCATAGGCTGAGCGTTGTGTGCGTGTTCCTGGAAATGGTCTTTAACCTGTTTTCACCTTTGCCGAATCGGAGCTGCCTATGGAGGAGTGGAGAGGGTGAGTTGATGGATCTCTGAAACTTGGTGCACGGTGGCTTGAGGAGCAGAGCTAGCTTGGAGGAGCTGCTGGGCCACCCCTGCCCAATGAGGGGGCTGTGAGCACAGGGCGGGGCTTTTTGCTCTTGTGGCCACTTGCTTAGTCTTGAGTGGCCCCACCAACCTCTTGTCTCTGCTGGTCTGGTGGTCTTCCAGACCGGTGTCACCTTGTACCATTAGACTTGTGAGTAATGCAGGAGACGTCCGTTCCCTGCAGGAGCTCTTCTCCCTGTGCCGGTGCTCTGCAGAGAGGCTCCGCCAAGGACAGATTTCTTAAACACTTGCTGAAGAGGTTAACCTGGGCCAAGCACATTGGAAAATGATCTAAATGTGGTTGCCTGGGATGGACGGGGGCGATGCAAGGTAGCTGGGAGTATCCAGCTTAGTCATTACAGCCTGCAATAATTATTCTCTTCCTGTTCGTTTCGTTGACCTGACACTGTCCTGGTGAGGGTCCTTTGCTTGAGTCTCGTTTTCTTCAGCCTCCAGAGAGTGAGGGTTAGAAATCTGAGTTATTAGCAGGTTTGTACCAAGTCTAGGTGTTGGGCAGCACTTGGTACCACGGGGGCTGTGTCAGCTGGGAGCTGTGTGCAAGTGGGACCAATAACGGGACATGCTGGTGGGGAGGTTCTGCACGGGTGCCGGAGCGATGCACCCCAAGAATCCCAGGTGGGTGTTAGCCGAGCAATTGCAAATTGACCAAAAAAACAGTGGGGAAGCGACATGCAGCATGGAGCCCTGAAAATGGAGCTGCAGTCTTGGGTGGATGGTTGCTGCTGGTGCAAGGGATGAAGGGGAGAACACACAGATGCTCTCCCAGCGGGACGGGGCTCTTGGCTGTGGGAAACAGGGCCGGGTGCTCGACGGCTTCGACTCCTGGTGGGCTCAGCTCTAACTGTTCTGCTTTCTGGTTGTGATTTAAGACTTTGGTGAGGACTTTAAGGCGTATCCACTTCTACGGAGCACGAGGAACGCACTGTTGAGCAGCGAGGGTAAAATACTAGGTCTTTAAAACTCACCAGAATTACATTTTATCTCTTCTGCTGTTTAGTTTATGTTACTTTCTTTGGCAGTAGGGCTGTAACTCAACTTTCTCATGGTTCGGAAATAAAGAAAATCGTAGAGCCAGCAGCGTGCTTTTGAGACTTGCCGAAACAGCTGTAATTTGTACTTGTGGTATTAGCAACAACACTGCAGTTTTCCTACATGTACAACATGTAAACCAGCGTAACATCCTGTACTTCAGGTTGCATATACAAGAAAATTAAAGTAAGGGCTCTGCTTGAACTTAACCTCTGGTCCAAATCCTGATCCCTCTGACAGCAGCAGGATTTTGGTATCGACTTTGAAAGGAAGCAGCGTCAGCCGCACTGTTTCTCATGCTTAATTTTAATGGTATAATTGAGGCTTCTCATTTGCATAATGAGGGTGATAATGCATTTAGAAAGATGTATAATAATAAAAAAAAAGAACAATAATGCAGAGTTCATTTGGAAACGGAAACAAAAATAACTGGAATGCAAAATGAACTTGCAATGGTTTCGTTCAGGGGATTGCTCGGTATTAATGAATACCGTGGCGGTCTCTTCTGGCGCTGAAAACACGTATGCCGAGTAGGCACAGGAGGATTCTCCGTGGTGGAAATACTCAGTTCCAGCCTGGGTCTTCCCAGATGGGGGTCCGCAAGGATGCCCGCCTGCTGCGGTGGCGGTGGGTCTGAGCAAGCCCCGGGGATGCGGGCGGTGATGCTCACCTGGTTTCTCTCTCTGGGTCTTGCAGCCCCCCCCACCGTGCGGATCGTGCACTCGGGCCTGGCGTGCAACATCGAGGAGGAGCGCTACTCGGAGAGGGTCTACACCATCCGCGAGGGCGAGACGCTGGAGCTGACCTGCCTGGTCACCGGCCATCCTCGGCCACAGGTGAGCCCCCACCGTGCCCGGTGGCAACCTACCACTGGTCACCGCACCTTCCCCCTGCCCCGTCTGTCTGTCCCTGAGCCTCGGCGGGTTGGTTCCATCTTCTGCGAAGGACCAGAGTGGTGCAGGGTGATAGAGATCAATCTAATGGGATCCGAGGGGGCGATTTGTCCAGGCTGTTGGTATGATATTGGGATGTACCGGAAAGGAACATCAACAGCAGAAAAGTTTATGACTTTTTTTGAATTGACTGTCTAGGAATGTGATATTGAAATCGGTGAGTCAATATTGTACTTTAACATGGGGTCCTGATGTGGGCGTTTGAGGTCCAGGGAGGTTGGTAGAAGGAAAAGAGAAACAAATAGGAGGACAGGGGCCACTGAAAGTAGACGGTATGCACCAGAGTGAACATCTGGAGGGGGGACACATGAGATCTCGGGGAGTTTGGGTGTCGTTGGAACCACAGCATTGCAGCCCTGCAGAAAACAAAAGTTAAACAGAAAGACACTAAGTTTTTCCAGGTCTAACTCTATTTTACAGCATCAGACTCAAAGGCGGAGAGTCTTGCCAGCCCGTGCTACCGCTGCCCTGCCGTGTCCCTCTGCCACCCCCCGGCTTTGCCCAGGGTACCCCATTAACAGGTTATTTTAGATCAGGACCTTTCAAGACCTGTGCAGCTGTAATGTTTTATTCCCCGCCTCCGCTCTGCGTTTCCGTTTCCATCCTTTCCTTGGCTCTCGGAGCCGGGCCTGCTCTCGGTTCCCTCTTCTGCCATTGCCGCTTGGCCTTCTGCTGCGTCCCCTCATCTTGCTCTGCAGAGTACCGAGAGCTGAGGCTGCGTCTGTACGACCTGAGATAACCACACATCACTCTGAACACTAGAATACCTCGCAAGGATTTTCTTCAGAAGGCGGTGAATTAAGCACCTCCCTCCTGCAATGGCATGGGACAGGAGGGAACTGTGAAGTGCGGTCACCCAGAGTGGGCGCTGGGGAGAGGGGGTGCACTGGAGACCTCAAGTCTGCAGAGGAGTGTGGTGTTCCTCTCGGAAGGAGAGATGTGCTGATTCTCTGCCATTTATTCCATAGCTGTTCCCGATTTAATGAGAAGATTTAAAAATGAAGAAGTTGAAGTTTAGCCTGTGCTGGTTCCAGGGAAGGCGTAGGTCAGGCTGTGTCTTAAAAAACTCTCCTGTAACTGCACACAGTTGCACTTTCTCAGCTGCAGTCGCACATTAAAGCCATGGTATAAAACAAGCGATTTTTTCTTTTAAATTGAGTGATCTCTGTCTAGTCTTTGCCAGAAAAAAGAAAAAAGAAAAAAAAGTCTGGGCCAAGTGTCCAGATGTTTTGATAACACCCCAAGTGAGAACAGTGCTGTTTTCAAATCAGTGCTGTTATTATGAAGTTTAACGTTCAGTTCCCCACAAGGTATGAAAAGTATTTATTGCCCTGCTATTGTATTCTCTCCCATTGCTGGATGTCCTCTTCACCCCAACGGTGCCCACGCCGTGGGAGATTGGTGGCTCATGAGATGTGGTCAGGGGAGATGCAGGGAAGATGCTGGTGGCTCCTTGTTGGAAGAGCCAAGTGAGAGACTCTGGATTGATAGAGACCTCACTGACGGAAGCTGATAATAACGTTTTAATGTAGCACTGACTGAAGCATGCAGGGAGCACCTCCTGCCTTGAGGACACCCTACTGCTTTTTAGGGGATCTGTTATGGCGTAAGGTGCTGTTCCGGCATTGGGGAGATGGGATCTGCCCCAGGCTGGCTGCCTTCTCCAGTCCATGTCTCTCAGTGCCTGTCGTCTTCCCAAACTTTTCTTATCCAGGTTTATTTGACAAATTTTTAAGTTCCAAAGCTGCTGCCTCTGGATGCAGCAGTTTTTTGGCATGGCCGTGTGTTTGGGTGGAGGTGAGTAGGACATTCGTGTGCAGGCAGAAAAGAGCAGGATGAAGAGAGACTGATAGGGAGGTGATTCTGCCCCTCTACTCTACTCTGGTGAGACCCCACCTGGAGTACTGCGTCCAGCTCTGGAGTCCCCAACATAAGAAGGACATGGACCTGTTGGAGAAGTTCCAGAGGAGGGCCATGAAGATGATCCGAGGGCTGGAGCGCCTCTGCTGGGAGGACAGGCTGAGAGAGTTGGGTGTGTTCAGCCTGGAGAAGAGAAGGCTCCGGGGAGATCTTATTGCGGCCTTCCAGTGCCTAAAGGGGCTCCAGGAGAGCTGGGGAGGGACTTTGTACAAGGGCATGGAGTGAGAGGATGAGGGGGAATGGCTATAAACTGGAAGAGGGGAAATTTAGATGAGATATTAGAAAGAAATCTTGCACTCTGAGGGCGGTGATCCCCTGGGGCAGGTTGCCTCGAGAAGCTGTGGCTGCCCCATCCCTGGAGGTGTTCAAGGCCAGGTTGGACGGGGCTTGGAGCAACCTGGGCTGGTGGGAGGTGTCCCTGCCCAGGGCAGGGGGGGTGGGGCTCAATGATCTTCAAGGTCCCTTCCTACCTCAACCATTCTATGATACTTCCAGTGTGCTTCCTTGGAGGATGTTTCTTTCTTAAGCCATCTCCTCCATCTCCTCTGGCAAAGCTGACCAGCAGCCTGTGAGGTTTGGTGCAGCTGAAATCAAAGATCCTTCTCAAACCTGCCTGCCTGGAGGTTTGAGGCAGCTTCAAAGCAAACGGGGCTGTTATCCATCAGGAAACACTTTGGACCAGCTATGAAAGGTCCTGTCTCAAGCAGTAACAAAGCTTATGATGCTGCTTAATCAAAAATAAAAAAAAGGTGTTCAACCAAAACATCTTATCAAGCAAGCAACCACACGGCTGCCTTTTTTTTTTTTTTTTTCATAAAAATCTCTATTTTCTCATCTGGGATTCAGGAAGGAAAATTGATTTCTCTTCATTTTACCTGTTTATAGATTTTCTTTGTCAGCCAGCGCCTCGGTGTGCTCTCTCGCGCTCGCTCTCATGTTACAGCTCTATGAGACTTGAAATATTTTTTCAGATTAATTGCCTGAGAGCAGGGGGATAGTTTTGGTAGTCTCAGATGGCTGATTCTGCAGCAAAATACAGGAGGTTTGGCAGGGCTGCGTTTGAACATTAGCCTTTTTATCACCTTCCTATTAAATTTCCATTCAAATTTAGTGCTCCAGAAAGTCAAGTAAGAGGCTGAGACACATGGTTTTATGCATTGCCATGTTTAAACTTCAGTGTGCAACTCTGTGGAAGCTGCAGCCCCTTGGACTCGTTGCCCATGAAATTTGGCTTCTCTTAAACAAGACCTAGATGAGATATGAGGAAGAAATTCTTTGCTGTGAGGGCGGTGAGCCCCTGGGGCAGGTTGCCCCGAGAAGCTGTGGCTGCCCCATCCCTGGAGGTGATCAAGGCCAGGTTGGACGGGGCTTGGAGCAACCTGGGCTGGTGGGAGGTGTCCCTGCCCAGGGCAGGGGGGTGGAACTGGATGGTCTTTAATGTCCCTTCCAACCCAAACCATTCTATGATTGTAAGAGTGCCATGGATCTCACCAGTATTTGTGTTGCTTTTGTCAATGGGGCTGCTGGGGCAAAGCAGCGATCGGGGCAGGCAGGAGATCAGGGTTCGTGTAGAATCAGCAAGGTGGGGCTCGCTGTTTCCAGCTGCCAGAGAACTGCTCTTACCTGCCAATAATTACTCTTGGATATTTTAAATACAGATTAAGATTTGTATTTATTTTGCTTCTTGAACACGCCTCACTTTATGGGCCTGGTTCTTCAGGGGGAGGTCTGCAGTGTGTTTCTGGTGTGACCCAGAGGCAGTGGCTGGCTGGAAGGGGCGATATGGCGTTTACTTTTAAGCCTTCCTTTTCGTATCTGCAGAATTTCTATAAGAATTTGACAATATATGTTGTTCTTGGATTCTCATGTTCAGACAGCCTTCAATATGAGAGGGGTTTGAGGGGAAGTATCTGGCAGGATGGTTCCTATTCTCCGTGCAGATGGGAGTGGTGAAAATACATTTTTCTTTTTCTTTTTTTCTGCAAGAGACTTCCATCCGCATTTTGTGGTAATTGCCAGTATTTTCAGTACTTCAAGTTTTTAGCGTTTTTTGCACAGAAGGTTATCATATTTGGTTTGCAAATTGTATGGAAATTATTTTCAAAATGATATTTTATCAGACCCTGGGAAGTGAGTTTATAAAATATGTAATTATGTATCTATTCTAAGAATGCTATTCAACTTGCATGCGCTTCTCAAACTTTTTCAATTCTTATTGGCATACATAGAAACTCCTTTTGTTCTGAACGCTCTAAGGAGCCGGCAACTCTGCGCTAGGCATTTATAAAATCCCCCATCGGTGTTCCCTGTGCTTCCCCCCAAGTCAGGTAGTGGGCAGAAAACATGCATTAACTAAGGAGAAAATAAAGTGGCGAAAGCGTGCTGTGAGTCAGCTGGTGAAACCACGCGTCCTGCATCCTTCCTTCCAAGAAGTGGCTTTTGCAGATGCTGGCGTGGCTTGGACCTCTGCCTTGCCCCAATGTTCTTCAGTCTCCGGAGCTGTTGGTGGGATTTGGTACTCGTGGCGGTGCCAGCGAGTAACCGGGTGGCACTGCAGTAATGACTGCCAGGAGATGCCACCCACCGACGTGCATAGTGTGCAGTACCAGCGTTCCTGCTGGCTTGAAGTCTTTGCATGGTTTTAGCAGGTCACTTGGATTGATGAATTGCCTTAGCCTGCTTTGTTGTTGTTTTTAAAACTATGGGTCTGGGGTATATGTACATCCCCTTTTTTCTGCAGTAAACTCGAGTCTTGGCCAACTGCTGTCCTGTGCTCCTCACAATTCCACGGCAACTGGATAAGGGGCTGTTAGGAATTCTTGCCTGAAATAAAGGCTGCTAGATGTATTGTGGAGTAGAAATGCCCCATTAGCGTGGCAGTGGTTCATGGAGGGGGGGGGATAGGATGTTGGCAGGAAAGCGGTGCACTTCTGCAGGGATGCCAAGAGCAAACTGCTCTCTGC